TGTAGTAGTAGTAGTAGTAGTAGTAGTAGTAGTAGCAGCAGCAGCTGTAGTAGTAATAGTTGTTGTTTTTTTTTTGTTGTTTTTGCTGTTGTTGATGGGGCGGCATAAAGACATAGATACTCGATAAAAAGATTTTCGTTTACAGGAATCGACCTCGGGTCTTCTGCATGCGAAGGCAAAGTGCCAAATACAGACGCCGGTTACTATTTTGTATCTACATGACAGTCAAGCATATTAAGCACCACAATACTTCAATGGAAAAAGACCTGTAAAAGAATACAGCAACACGGGTGTACGATACGATCAAAGAGAAAAGTAAACTACAGTCTCTATTGACTGACGTAAAGAAGAAGAGAAAATATAACTGGCTACAATAATCCTTTTCAGGGACAACAAACCACGCAGACACCTGTACAAATATCATCCCAGTTAATCCACGATATTTCATGTCCTCTTCCCCTTTACTAAGGAAACCCCGCCCTCTTTCTCTGACTCTGTCTCTGTCTGTCTTCTGTCTGCCTGTCTGTCTGTCCTTCTGTCTGTCTGTCAGTCTGTCTCGCCCTCTCTGCCTCTCTGCCTCTCTCTCTCTCTCTCTCTCTCTCTCTCTCTCTCTCTCTCTCTCTCTCTCTCTCTCTCCATGTTTTTGTTTCGTGTTCCTTTTCTGCACATTTGCGTCTCTTTCCTTAAAAATGTTCTGTTCATTTTTTCTACGGTTTTTTTTTCAACCTCACACACACTAGTAGCAGGAATCCTTCATCTTCCTCTTCAGAACCACAGACAACAGAAGCCCTCCCCTTTGGTCCGTGAGGTAACCCGATCCCTCTCTGTTGCCGACCCCCTCCGACAAGGCCAGATCCGGGTGGACTGGACACAAAGGCCCAGGTATCTCGTGTCCGAACAGAGCCCGTCACAACAACAAGACAAACGCCAACAGCGCAGACCGTTCTCCACTCCCTTTTGTCTTCGCAAGAGCCTCACGTGAGTTTGCTAGTAGTACTTCATCGTCCCTCTTCGATGATCAGTCAGAGTCATAGTCATGTTATAATTTTTTCATGAAACTCCTAATACGACATCACGAGGTCGTGTTCGTCAGAGTGACGATTCGTGACCTGGAGCTATAATATTGTGTTATCTCTTTTAGATCCCCACGAACGTAGAACCCTTTAGCTCTAAGGCCAGTGTTTGTATTGGTAAAGGACTCTTGGGGAATATCACCAGCTTTCTCCCCATAAAACACCTGTTATCTCTACTCGCTGGGCAGACAGAAGCGCGTCGAGTGACGTACAGTGAATCATCGAGCCTTAAGCCCTATCGGACCTACAATCTCCCACAGACAAATCGGGACACGATGGCGTCGATAATTCGCGCGCGTCCGCACTCAGCCGCGATTTGATACCTCTATCCTCATTCGGTATTGACGACAATAATACCCCCACAGCGAATTGAACTCTGAACTCCCTCGTCCATTTTCAACGATATAAAACGAACAAAAACAAAGAAGCGAAAAAAAAAAGAAGAAAAACCGGCGGCCGGAAGAGATAGCACTCGTGTGGTGAAAAGAGCTGATGCATGACGTAAAAAACAATAAAATCAGGCTATTTTCCTTGCTGTCGGAAGAACTGATACTGGTATTGTTGCATACATTGCGAGCAGCATGCAGAATAAAAGGGCGGTAATGGCACCACATTAAGCAGAGGAATAATGAAAATTATGAGTGGCTGATATTTTAGAGAGACACCCAGTCTTACTGAGGAAGCGAAAGTTGTGATGAAACATGCACGAGATTGGTTTCAGAATTGAAAAACAATGACACTAGGGTATTATGTAAATGTGCTATGCTGTTTTGGGTAGTTGGTGTACACATTTTTAACGTTTTAGTTTTTGTTACCTTATAACAAAATACGGGAAAATAACGCTTCAATGGTCATCAGAAAGATTCACAGAAACACGCAAACACTCAAACACTTTCCGACTCCTTCTTTTCTTTTTTTCTCTCTCACTTGCTGTTATTTAATTCTCCCAAACTTACAAATAATTCCAATCATTTTGGCAAGAACCCCTGTCTGCTAAAACTATTACAACTCTGTGTATGTCGCTCCCATTTGATTTTCGTTTCCTTTTTTCCTCTATGTTTTCCGAATCCCCACAAACCATCTGGTACTGATGTTCAGGAACGGTGCAAGGTGATCCAGAAAAGCTACGATTGACCCTAAACTCAATACTCTACTCCTCAAATCTGTTTTCCCAGACTCCAAATTTAAGGACGTTTCGTCCAGCCTTGTAAAGGCCACACAATCCTAGATCTAAAAAAGCAGAACATCAGAGCATTTTTATGGGGGGAAATAAGATTATATTGTCCATTAAAGCTTTTTTCGACATGGGAAATGTGACCGCTCTCGCTGCAAAGGTTTCCTTAAGACAGACATAACCTCGAAAGAGTCTTAGTTCAGTCTGAGAGGCAATTCTGAAGGAGATGGTAAAAGACGTTGAGTATATTGATCGACATTCGGAGGTTTGGAACGGTTCTAGCAGTTGTTTGATGTGCACGTTTTATTTCCTCGATTGCGTTTACAGCCAGACACGTGCTAGGGAGGAACCAGGCGGTTTAGGTTCAGAGAGATGGAAAAAAGATACGGCATTCAGTTAGAATTTACCCTGCAACACCTTCGAATTCCTTTGGAATCTTTCTAATCGTTTGATTTCTTTTTGGTCCCCCCCCCTATAAAAAAAAGAGAAAAAAAGAAGAAATTAACAAAAACACAAAACAGCTACTTTTTAGGGGTGGGTAATTGGAGGACCCCAAAGGTAAGTCCTCCTTCTTTTCTTGTCTACTTTTGTTCTGATCTCTTTCTTTTTCTTTTCCTTTCCAACAATTTGGTCGCTGTCCTTTCCTTTACCGAAACTAAAGCAGATTTTGAGATTCCTGTCAAAACAACATTCAGTTCCGCTGTTGTTACGCTGGTTGTTAAATCATCAAGAGTAAAGGTAAAAAAAAAGAGGGAAAGGTATTTTTTTCAAGGGCATTCAGTTTTGCTTGGGAAAGCTTAAGATAAACTTGTATTCTCTTTAATTTGACATTAACATTAATTCTTTTTTCCATTTCTTAATATATTTTTTTAATAGAAGGTTGGGTTTTCTTTTTCGTTTTTAGGGGGGGGGGTGGC